AGGAGGCACCTAGGCTGGAATCTTGATGGCTCCATGGGGCTGGGACAAGAGAGGTGAGCCTAGGGACATGTCCTTCTGCCCCAGTACAGACTCCAGGGTACTTCTGTGTTTCACACACAGGCTGGCGAGCACATGGGCCCATCTGCAGAAAGTCAAGGCAGGGAGTCCCTCAGATGATCACCACTGGGGAGGGACAGGAACCACCGTGGCTTACCCTGCAGCTGCCCCTGTCCAAGGTGAACCTCTGCCCCTGCTCTAAGAAAAGCCATGTTCCTGTTGCCCTGCTGAGCTCTGACCACACCTCCAGATTGACCTCCAACCCCGACCCTTGACTGACCCTAGACACGTGCTGATCCCCCATGACCCTTTCCCAACGATCTCTGGGGAGGCAGGGGGGACTCCCTGTCCCAGGCACCCTTAGCTGATGATGGTAAATCACGGGGAAGGGAGAAAAACAACCTCTGTGGGGCCCAGGCCCTATTTTTAGGAGATAATCTCTCCACTGTTGGCAGATTCTGCGGGAGAGGGGCCAAGCCCAGCTAAGAGAGACAGGACGGGCAACCTGGCTGGCTTGGGGGAGGCTGGGAGACTCAACCAGGATCCCCAGCCCAGGGGATGGACTCTGAGGCTGGCCCCGGTCACCCTGGGCTCAGGCACCCCCATTGGAGGCTCTGCTGGCTACTCTAGACCAAGCAGGCCTTTCTTGCCCCCTCCCAATCCTCTGATCAGCCTGCACCCTCTCAAGTCCTCAGGCTATAAAGCTCTTTGGAGATAGCATCTCATCAATCTTCCCATCATCTTACAAGGGCGGATTATTGGCCCCATTTTCTAGTGGAGGATCTTGAAGGTCAGGGAGGTTAAGGGATGTTGTTGGGAGTCTTGGAACCAGGGCACAAGGCAGAACTGTCTGGCTGAGGTCCATGTTACATCCCTAGATGTGTCTGCAGTCTTCAGCTGGTCTCTGCTCCCACAAGATCCCCCAGAAGGGCCTTAGAGAGCACCCAGGCCAGCTTCTTCCTGCATAGACTCCTTCCCATAACCCTGTGAGGTAGATCCCGGTATCTACCCACTTTGCAGATGAGGTCCCTGAGGCTCAGAGAGGTTAAGTGACTTGCTTACCTATAATTGTGTAGGTGGCAAGGTGAATTGCAAAGAGATGGAGGGGACTTCCTAGGTTCATAGAGAGAGTAACATGTGTCACCTGAGCTGGAACGACCCTGCTCTCTGAGTCCTTGTTCTGGATAGATGGATTGGTAAGTGGATGGGTGGATGGATGGATGGATGGATGGGTTGGGAGCAGGTGGGTAGGGGACAAGCAAAAGAAAGGATGGATGATGGGATACGGGGGCAAATTAAGGCATCTGCCCCCATTTGAGGGCTTCTTTCTTGAGCCTCCAGGCCCCCAGGCCTCTCCCTGGTTGAGTTGATGCTGGAGCTGACCACAAGGTCCACAAGCCCTTCCCCAGGGACAAGGGCTCAGTCCCTGAGAATCTGTGGGTGTAAACCTCTCTGTGATCCTCAGCCCCATTTTATAGAGGAAAGTGAGGATCAGAGAGGGGGCGTGGCTCATCCTGGCTCATATAGGCAGAGAATCACGAAGCTGGCACTGGTCTCCAGGCTTGGCAGTGGGTCCATAAGTGCTTGCAGGGATTCATGCTAGTGAGGCGGCTTCACTCTGCAGCCAGGGCCTTAGACCCTGCTAGGGTGAGATTGGGGAGAGAGCTCAGTAGGGGTAGAGGAGCATGTGATCCATGTTCTGCTCATCCTTGCTGTGCACTCCCAGGTAAATTGCTTCACCTCTCTGAGCCTTGGTTTACTTGTTCATAAAATGGGCCCTACTCCATGAGGTTGTTGGGAAGACTACATGAGATAACTCCTGAAAAATGCATTTAGCACAGAGTTCGATAAATGTGGCCTTTCCCAATCCAGGGATTGTCGGGGGACTTACACAGATGCCTGCAGCCCCACACTTACACACACTTCCTAGGGACCCCACAAGGCCTAGGCTCTTGGGAGGGCGTATGGAGAGGGACCCCAGCTCCAGCCCCCACCTGGCCTTGCTGGGTGACCCCCTCCAGCCTTGACTCCTTTCCAAGGCCTGTGCTCTCTAGTTCTGCGATGTTGAGGGGTCTCACGGGTCCGGGGCTGGAGGGGGTCCAGGGGTCAGCCCCAGCGGGGGCCTCACGCTCCCCTTCTCCCAGGCCCCTCCAGAGGCTTGGGGCCAGATCAAAGGGACCCAGCACTGAGGGTTGGGAGGCGGGCTTGGAAAGAATGTAAACATGAGGATATTTTTAAACTTTTTCCAGCCCCAGAGATTAGGGCCCTTGAAGCAAGAGGCCCAGAGGTCAGGCCGGCCCTCACTCAGGAAGAAAGAAACCGTCTTGGGGCCTCAGAGACCCCACCTCCCAACCTACCTACACCCATCCCAGGACTCTAGTTTGGGCCTCAGGGCACAGGTTCTTCCCATGGTCTCACCTGCAGACCTCCTGCTGCAGCAGGATGACAGTTTCTAAAGGGAGGGCCTCCGAGGGATAGGAGCACCCAAAGGACCCAAAGGGGGTGTGCGGAGCCTGCTTGGCAGGGCTAGTGTTGGGACACTGAGCTTGGGAAACCCCTGGGCAGCCTGTCACTCTAGTAGGTGTGAGGGCACGTGCATGTGCATGCACTGCAGTGTGTTCTGCGTGATGCCTATGTCAGAATGCGTGTGCGTGTGCAAGGAGCTCATCTCAGCCCACCCCTCCTCCCCTTCCCTAGTGTCCCTGACCTCCTCCCAGGACCCGGGCAGGTGGGTGAGGTGGGGGGGCAGGAAGCAGGCCCGAGGATCAAGGGAAGAGTCACCTGAGAACAGGAGAGCAATGAGAGCAGGGGGCGGGGTGTGCCAGGGTCCGGGGCCATGCAGTGAGTCAGGCTGTGAGGGCCGCAGGGGCCACTGACGTGGGGACTGGGGCCCTGGCTCCCTTAATTGCCTCCAGGTGTCACAGTGACTTGGGATCTCGCAGACAAAGCTTCCTGGATCTCCCCCTTCCAGCGTCACAGTGACGACTCTCACCATGGCAACAGCCTCTTCCCTCAGAGTGACACAGCCACCCTCAAGGAACGTCACCAGGAGACTCCTGCAGGGTTCCCCCACACGCCCTGTGGTCATAGCCCAGGGGCCCTGACACGGGGCACATGGAGACCCTCACCCTATGACATCCCACCCACCAGAAAGTCGGAGGCAGAGTTCACGGGGCATCCGGAAGCCAGGCCGGCCTGCGTTACCAGGACAACGAGGGGCCCAGCCCCAGGAGAAGCCTCGGCTGGCTGTGTCCCAGGCTTCAGGGGCAGCGGTGCCACCTTGCCCTGCTTATGAGCCCAGAAAGGGACAGCGTCCAGCTCCATCTCCTCAGTGGAGGGCAGGGCCCAGGCCCCAGGCCAGGATGAACATGGCGGAGTGGTTCCCTCCAGATCCCCGACCCACTGAGGCAGCAGTGGCTGGGGAGAGGCTTGGGGTTTTACCATAAGGTGTGGCGGAACTTTGGGCCCAGTGTGGCGGGGAGCCTGGTGGGGCTCAGATGGATGGGGACGGGGACCTGGAGCCTGGTGCTCAATCTGTGGGCTGAGGCTGCCCACCTAGAGACATTGCTGTGTTGTCCCAAGTTGTTGGCATCCTGTGTGCGCCGCTCACCAGGGCTGTGGCTATTCTTACCCATGTGGCGGTGGCGGTGGCGGTGGCAGTAGGGTCAGAGATAGCGGTTGGGTGGGAGGGAGTCATGAGCACCAGCCCCTTATCTGACACATTCCCTGGAAACTTGGCAGGGACTGCCAGCCTCTGGGGGCCCGGACAGGGCAGGGGTGAGGTGGTCACAGGGACAGTGGGGGCTGGGCTCACTGCAGACGCGGCCCTGCCCAGCTGTCTTCTCCTACAGCTGGGCGAGGTCCCACCAGAACTGGCCTGGGGGTTTCTGATGGGATTTCTTCCCATGTCATTAAGACCACAAGTCATCCTCAGCTCCTTCCCAGCCCAGCCCTGAGTACACAGCCATCGCTCAGCTTGCGACACTCCAGCAGACAATGTGTTGGCTTCCTCAGTGAAGGGGCCGCCTCTCTCTGCATGGGAAAGCACTGCGCTGTGAGCCATAGGGGCCCAGTCTGGCCACTGTCCTGCCCCCTTCCTAGCTGTGTGACCTTGAGCAAGTTGCTTGCCTTCTCTGACCTTCAGTGTCCTCATCCCTCTCCTGGGCCACTGTAGAGATGACAGGGTCCGAGCATCAGGAGAGTGAGCTGAGCGCTGCAGACTGTGTGCGTGTGTCGCTCTGTGTGCTCGCACATGCGCACTGGGTGGCGGGGGGGCAGGGTGGGGAGAGAGAGGCACACGGGTCCCCCACTTTGGAGACTCCCGCCCCATGGATTTTCCACCCGCACGTCGGCACCCTCTCCCCCAAAATAGGCCCTACGAGCCGTGTGCGACACAGCCCAGACTGAGGGGACTTTTTTTAGCTCGCCTTTGATTGTCAGCTTTCCAGCGGCTATTTCGAGCCCCAGTGCCTAGGAGAACAGGGCCAAGTGGGGGCCGGGGTTAGCTCAGTGGGCCTGGCTGGCTCCTGGAAGGCATCCCCGAGGGGCAGCCATGTCCTATCACACCCAGCGCTGCTGGCAGGGAGGGTGCAGCATCCCTGTGTCTGGGGCCTGAGGGCCCAGCCGCCACCTCCAGGGAACCTGCAGACCTGGCATGAAGCAGCTGTGCCCAACACCCCCCTGCAAAGAGCGCATCGTGAGGATTAACTGAGATAATACAAGCAAAGCCCTTACTTAGCGCACGGGGTGGCACATAATTGGCCCTCAAAAAATGGAACAGCTGGTACCATTATCGTCTTTACAGCTGCAGTCATTCTTGTTTTTGCTGACACACTAATGTTTATCAGATTTCCTTCCAGTCTTTTTTCTGTGTATTTCTCTTATGTTGCTGGGTTCAGGATGTGACCCATCCCACCCCATCCCACACACATCCACACCTGGTTTCAGCATTAAGGGGCCCCTGTAAGTCTGCTGGGGGTCCCTCTAAGTATCTGTGGGTCCCACTCCTAGAGATCACCCCACACACACATAAATGCCCTTTGGGGTTGACCCCTGAGATGGTGTTTGACCTCTCAGAGTATCTGCGGATGTGCCCACAGCCTCTGTTGTCTCCTCTGATGCTCTCGGCCACTGCTCCATAAGCCCCAGATTCTGAAAGTCAAGTTCTAGATGTTGGATCCCCAGAAGGCCCAACTGGATTCTAGAACTCTCCAACTGGAACTGGAGGAAATGGGCTTTTTCCACAGCTAGACGGGAGAAAGAGTTTTTGGGCTATTCAGATGTGTGCGGCTTGGTGACGGATCAGAAGGACAAATGCGGTTGCTCTCGGCACCCTGGTGGCAGTGTGTATGTGTGCAGAGGTGTGAGCTGCCGAGAAGAGCAGACGGGCATAGAAGGGCATAGAAAGCCGCGTTCTGGGAAGTGGCCGGGGCAGGGAGACAATGGGAGTATGGCTGGCCTCCCCTTCCCTGTTGGGGCCATTTCCCAGCAGGGGAGCAAGGTCAGCTGGGGTTAGGGGGTCACATGTTCCCCCCTCGCCCCAAGTGGTTACCGCACAAGGTGAGGCTTCCTTGTTACCCGAAGGACAAAAATAGGTCCCAGGTGATAGCCTGCGATGCGTGCCCGGAACCAGCAGGGTTATTCTGAGCGAGCGTGGCAGGCGCAGGGCCAGGCCAGGCCTCGGTCAGGTGGGGCTGAGCTGGAAGTGGCATCCTCAGCCTGGGGTCCTGCCAGGAGCTGAGGGACTGGGATTGTGTGTAGGCTGGCCGTTGGTAGGTGGGTTTGAATCCTGCCTCAGCTATGTGACTGAGGACAAGCCACTTGGCATCTCCGAGTGTCCACCTTCTCCTCAAATCAGGGGAACCCTGATCCCTGCCTCTCAGGGTGGCCGAGGGAATTTGGCGAAGCTGCCAGATAGTACTCAATAGATGTGACTCTGTGGCTGTCCTGGAGCCCAGGCCCAGAGGTCCAGAGAGGGCAAGGATCTTGCCCAAGTTGTCCAGCAGCAGAAAGGCCCCTTCTCTTCCAACTCTGAAGGAGCCACAGACAGGCACAAAAACACATTTCTGGAAGGGCTTGTGGGGATTTTCCAAGAACAGCTCCATCCAGCTGGAGAATTCCATTCCTGGCCCCGCTCCCCAGGGCCCAGGCTAAGGAAGGGACACGCTGGCTCACTCCGGTTCTGCCCGGCTCCGGCTGCTTGACCACAAGGCCAAGGCTGGGGTGCCCCACGCTATGTTCTCTTGCTGTTTGCTGTGGGGTATGAGGGGCTGGAGGCTCTTAGGTCCCCCTCAAGGCCCTGGCACAGAACAGTGCAGAACCCACAGATGGTCCTCTCCTGACTGCTGATCCCTTCTGGGAGCCTGCCCTTTCCTTCATCCAGAATGTCCTAGAATTTTCCCTGGACCCAGCCCCTGCCCTTAGGCTCACCCCAGCTGAACATGGACAAGCTAGCATGATGCACCCTGACTTGGGGACAGGTGGCACCTGACCCAGCTTGAGGGTGGGGGTAGGAAAAGGCAGCTGGAGAGGGGGAGGGTAGCCAGGCTGGGACAGCTGCCTGGACAAAGGCCCGGAGGCGTGGCGGAGCTCAGGGGACTGGAACACGCTGTAGAGTTTCCTTAAGGCTGGAGCACAGGTTTGGGGCGGCCCGCTGGGCCCTGAGGCCAGGGGATTTGCGGGGGTGAGTTGAACTGAACTCAGTTATTTGCTGAGCTGGATTGGACCCTGATCCCTTTCCCAGTCTAGACTTCTTCCCTCTGCAGCTGGTGCCCCAGGGTTTTGGCCAGAAGCAGCAGGTGTCCTCTCCCAGAAAGGCCTGGGCAACTGATTGGAATCCCAAGACATACCAGGCGTTAGAGGCATGACCCAGCTCAGCTCTTCACAGGCGGCTGTCATCTGGGATATTCCTGTACCCACAAACACACAGGTCCCTGAGGAGTGACAGGACACCCAGACCTGCTGGGAGCAAAAGTTCTTGCAGGGTCCCAGCTAGGCCTGGGACTCCCCAGACCCTGCCTGTCTGTCGCAACTTCAGCCCAGCACCTGTGCCCCACCCAGCTCCAGCCACGTCTCCACTCTGGGGAGGGGAGCGTGGCCCCCCTGCCACCCTGAGGCTGGCGCCAAGGTTTATGAGCCAGTGCAGAAGCCTGTGAGAGCCATATGGGTGGAAAAAGTTACCCCGTCCTAAATCAGCCAGCCTTGGGGTGATCTCATCCCCTTCCCAAGATAGTCACAGGCCCCTCCCCCACTGCCGGCCACTGGCCAATGGGGTAAGTCACGAGGGAGCTGGCGGAGGCATGTGCGAGAAGGCTGGGGGAGGAGTTTCAACTTGGGGTAACACTATATATTCTGTTTTTTGTTTTTTTTAAATTTTTTTTTTTGAGACAGAGTCTCACTCTGTTGCCCAGGATAGAGTGAGTGCCGTGGTGTCAGCCTAGCTCACAGCAACCTCAACCTTCTGGGCTCAAGCAATCCTGCTGCCTCAGCCTCCCGGGTAGCTTGGACTATAGGCATGTGCCACCATGCCCGGTGAATTTTTTTCTATATATGTTAGTTGGCCAATTAATTTCTTTCTATTTTTTATAGTAGAGATGGGGTCTCGCTCTTGCTCAGGCTGGTTTCGAACTCCTGACCTTGAGCAATCCGCCCTTCTTGGCCTCCCAGAGTGCTAGGATTACAGGCCAAGAGCCACTACGACCTGCTGTATATTCTGTTTTGTGATCTGATTCCGCTCCCCCCCCCATTTACAGTATTTACAATTAGCAGTTTCTGTTTTTTTCTGATTTTGTTTATTTTATATTTTTTATTACAATTTTTTCATTTTCTTTTTTTTTTTAACCTATTCTTTACCTTAGAATTGGCAGTTTCTTGTCAAATAAACTATAAAGATTTTCCACCATTACTTTTTCTTTTCTCAGTCACTTTTAAAGTCTGCCAGGATGGATGCACTAGAATATCTTTTTTTTTTTTGAGACAGAGTCTCACTTTCTTTTGGTTGTTTTGTTTTTTTTTTTTGAGACAGGGTCTCACCTTGTTCCCCAGGCTAGAATGAGTGCCATGGCGTCAGCCTAGCTCGCAGCAAACTCAAACTTCTGGGCTTAAACGATCCTCCTGCCTCAGCCTCCCAAGTAGCTGGGACTACAGGCATGTGCCACCATTCCCGGCTAGTCTTTTGCATATATATTTTAGTTGGCCAATTAATTTCTTTCTATTTATAGTAGAGATGGGGGTCTTGCTCTTGCTCAGGCTAGTTTCGAACTCCTAACCTCAAGCAATCCGCCCGCTTCGGCCCCCCAGAGTGCTAGGATTACAGGCGTGAGCCACCACACCCGGCCCAGAGTCTCACTTTCTTGCCCAGGCTAGAGTGCTGTGACATCAGCCTAGCTCACAGCAACCTCAAACTCCTGGGCTCAAGCGATCTTCCTACCTCAGCCTCCTGAATAGCTGGGACTACAGGCATGCACCACCATGCCCAGCTAATTTTTTTTTCTATATATTTTTAGTTGGCCAATTAATTTCTTTCTATTTTCAGTAGAGATGGGGTGTCACTCTTGCTCAGGCTGGTCTTGAACTCCTGAGCTCAAACGATCTGCCCACCTCGGCCTCCCAGAGTGCTAGGATTACAGGCATGAGGCACCACACCCAGCCACCAGAATCTCTTTGTCCAGGCCTCATTGAGGAGGGCATGGAACATGTCCGCTGGGTCCAGTTTTTCTTTCTTGCAAACACCAGTGCCATGACCATTTTTGTTCAAATCCCCTTTTGCAATTGCATCTCTCTCTCTCTCTCTCTCTCTTCCCACTCCCTCTCTCTCAATCTGAGATAAATTCTGATAGGTGCTCAGTGGGAGGACAGCCCTCACTGTGTGTCTCAGGAGTTCTAGGCCCTTCCCCAAGCCAGAGGTGCCAGGCCCAGGGCAGCAAGGTGGATCAAAGACCAGTCCAGGGCCATGGGGTCAGCAGAGTGGGGCAGGCTGTGGTCTGCTGTCCCCTCTGGTCTTCTCGAGGTGGACACCCCTGAGCTTCCACCCTCCCAGCCCCAAGGGCCAGGCTGATTGGGGACACAAGAAACATCATACACAGGGTCTTCCCTGACCCATGCTGGAGGTTGTATCCACACAGCCCCCCATTCCAGGCACAGGCAGACAAGTCCCAGCTTCCGGGTGGGACCCTCCACATTCCATCCGATTCACATCTTGCCAAGTGTTTCCCCAGCTTGTGTTAGAATGCTTCCATGGACCAACAGCTCACTCCTTTCTAAGTTGCTCCCAGGCCATTGGGGAACAGGTGCAGGACATGCTTTTTATCAAATGAATAAACATTCAACAGAATCGCCCGATTGCTAAGAGAAAGCTTTGGAGTCAGACGGCACGGTTGGAAACTCAGCTCTGTATTTACTAGTTTTGTGACCTTGGGCACATCATTTTATTAATACCTCTCCAGGCTCACTTTCTTTGTCTGCTAAAAGCTGGGCGTTAATAATAATTGCGCTTGTAGGGGGTTCGTGTTGGAGGGATTAAAATGACGATAACACTTGTTGAAGTGTTACCTCCAGCACAGCATCAGGCTAGAGCATGTGCTCACACATGGGACCCACTTTATTGTCACAAATTATCATAAGATTGAGGGCAGCTCACAGGCCCCAGTTATTGGGTTGAGTTTTCTCCTGTGTGGGATGTCTTTGTTTGTGTGCTGTGTCACGGATATGATGTATGTGTGTGTTGTGTATTGTAATTTGTAAGGGTGGGCAGGGGTCTGTTCTCTCTCTGCTCTGGCTTTTTTTTTTTTTTTTTTTTGTTTTTTTTCATGGCACATTTTATGTGGGATTGGGAAGAATTTAAAGCCAGGCCAGGGGTGGCGCAGGTGGGCTCCACCTGTAATCCTAGCACTCTGGGAGGCTGAGGCGGGAGGATTGCTCAAGGTCAGGGAGGTTTGACCAGCCTGAGCGAGACCCATCTCTACTATTAAAAAAAGTAGAAGAAATGTAATTGGCCAATATATAGCTACTCCATTAGAAAATAAGAAATTAGGCTGGGCCATGGTGGCGCTCATTGCCTGTAGTTCAGCTATTCGGGAGGTCTGAGCAGGATGCTTGAGCCCAGAGTGTGTTGGAGGTTGCCTGTGAACTAGGCTGATGCCACGGCCATCACTCTTAGCCTGGGGCACAAAAAAAGCGCGAAAAGAAATTCTGTCTCAAAAAAAAAAAAAAAAAAATGCAGGGCTAGGGGTGGTGGGTGCGGCGATGGCGGGAGGATGTCAATGAAGCCTTTTTTGTTGTTGTTCATAAAACAATTTCCAACATACACAAAAGTGGAACAAAGAGTACAACAAAGCCGCTTATACCAGCTACCAGATTCACTGACAGTCAAGACTGCCGTACTTGCGTCAGCTTTGTCGGTCCCCCGTTTCAAATCCTTTAATGACAGCACTGCGGGAGATTTAAGGAAATAACCATTTTCTTGGCCGGTCGTGGGTGGCTCACGCCTCGTATCCTAGCACTCTGCTGGGAAGCCGAGGCCAGGTTGGATGCTCAAGGTCAGGGGGGTTCGAAACCAGGCCTGGGAGTCAAGAGCGAGACCCTCATCTCTAACTATAAATCATGAAAGAAATTAATTGGCCGACTAACTATATATAGGAAACAATATTAGCCGGGCATCGGTGCGATGCCCTGTAGTTCCAGGCTACTCGGGGAGGCTGAGGCAGCAAGATTCGCTTTGAAGCCCTAGGAGTTTGAGGTTGCTGTGAGCTAGGCTGAACGGCCACGGGGGGCACTCACTCTATCCTGGGCAACAGAGTGAGACTCTGTCTCAAAAAAAAAAAAAAAAGAAAGAAAATAACCATTCTTTCGGGAGTACTTACTGATGGATAGTTGGAAATGACATGAGGTCTGGGGTTTGCCTTAAATAGTTCGGCATGACTACCCTTTCCCAAGAAACAAGAGTGGCTGAAGCAATTGTGCAGTTGTGGCTTGTGTTTGTAAGAGAAATAAACTGGATACACCAGGGATGCTGGAGTCCTCAGGAAGGTAGGAAAGGGGGCAGGGCCAGGGCGGTATCTGTGTGGAGTGTGCGTGTTCCCCCATGTCTGCGTGGGCTTTCTCTGGGTACTCTGGTTGTCTCCCATATCCCAGAGCTGTGCATGTTCAGTTCACAGACGTGTTTACACGGTCCCTGGGTGAGTGAGTGTGGGTGTGTGTGACAGTGCCCTGGGATGGGATCGGCTGCCACCTTGTGCCTGGAGCTGCCAGGACGGGCTTAGGCCATCAGTGACTCTGGACTGGAATAATTGGGTAAGTTGTTCTCTTACTTATTTTTATTAATATTTCTCAAATGTATGTATAGCTCCCATTTATGTCAGTGTTTAATAGTGGAAGGGTTTGGGGGTCTCTATTTACAGGTGTGATGATTTTTTTTGTGACCAGAGACATGCTGTGCGAACTTAACTCTTCATTATATCAATTAGTCTATGGCAAAATTGGTTTCCTTTTATGTCGTTCTGCTTAAAGTCCCAGTTTCTAGGAACCTATTGATGACATTAAGTGAGAATGTATATTGCTTTAGTTATAAGCAAGTCAGCCCAGATTCAAGAGGAGGGGAATTAAACCCCACTGCTTGATGGGAGGAGTGTCAAGAAATTCATGATCATCCTTAAAACCACAAGGAGCAAAAAGTAGAGGGTCCCAGGCTCCATGCCAGGGATAACTGGAGTGGGGGGCACTGGCCCAGCTCTTGGAAGAGGTGACTGCAGCTTGTTGGGGGAGATGGAGACCTCTTTCCCTTTTCTCACTCTTTCCCTGCTAACATTTTAAATGCACGTGCAAGTGACTATTTGACGCAGGCACGGGGCTGATCCCTGGGGACTGAGGAGAGTCAGAGGGGTCCCTGGTGCTGCCAAGAGGGCAGACAGACAGACAAACTCTCTGAGATGTGATGGAGGCCCCTAGACCTCCACAGCCTAGAAAGTGAGGAACTTCCCAGGGCAGGCGACACTTCAGGACAGTCACGACGAGTAGCAGAAGTGAGCTGGGTGGAGAGGGACGGAGGGTGAGGCGGTAGGTTTTTCCAGATGAGGGAACAGCAAGGCCAAAGGCCTGGAACGTTCTAGGGACATGGAGCTCTGTGTGACTGTAGAGCCCACACAGCTGGGGAGCAGGTCGGGAAGGCCAGCCTGGGGAGGGAGTCTGAGTATTCATCCTCAGGGGACGGGGAGCCATGGAAGGGTCCTGAGCCGAGGACTGACATGGTCAGAGTGACTGCTGTGTCGTGAGTGGAACTGCCGGGAGGGGCAGCTGTCATTTCGGATGGGGGAAGATAAAGGTGGTTTGGACCATTCTTGGAGCTGAGACAGGGGTGGGCAGGAGCGAATGGCCCTTAGGAGGGTGAGCGGGGGACTGGCTGCAGGCAGCAGGGTAGGGAGGAGAGGGGAACAGCCGTGCCAGGGGAGACTGGTCAGGGTGACAGCCGCTGTCCCACCACCACCTGGCTTTGGCTCAGCCTGGGGCACTGGCAGCTCCTTCCCCACAGGCAGGGCTGGGTGACCACAGGACAGGTCCTTTCCCCACCCCACACTCATTCCCAGCTCTAAAGACGTCCAGAGTCCTGAGAGGCTCCCCGAGGGTGTTCCAGGCTGCGTCCCTGGGACACCAGGCTTGGGCCTCAGGCCTTGTCTCAGGAATGCTTTCCTCCCACTCAGGCAGCTGCGATGCCAGCATGGCCAGATGGCGACATCTAGAGGCAGCCTCCGCCTCCCACTGCCCCGCCCTGCAGAACTCCCTGGCCCCTCAGGATTTAGTGACCAACCCAACAACCAGGCAGAGCTCGGAAGAGGCCAAAGCTGAGGGCAGGGCCAGCAAAGGCCCTAAGACTCCAAGTGAACCATGGACACTCTGCCCTCCCACAAGCCCGGGAGCACGCTGGCTTGTTGACAACATTCCCTGTCCCCACCCCTGCACTGTCCCGTCCCCTGCACTGCTCTGTTTCAGAGGAAGAGATTCGAGCTCAGCCAACTCTCCAACCCTTGGACGGGACGTCCTCACTTCCACCTGGAGACACAGGCCCATCCTGTGGCCTGAGCCCCAAAAGAGAACACAGAATGGCCCTCACCTTTTCTGTAGTGTTCCCTTTTAAGCTAATTGTCCATTTCCACCCACCCACACCCTCGGCCTCTCTGGCACCAGATGATCTTAGCCAACTCTCCTTGCTTTTCTCCACCACACGGTTTTTCCCCGGGTTCTCTGACCGCCTACTCTTTAGCTCATTCCTCCTCACTGTCTTTCCCTCTGTCCTTCTGTCCTTCCTCACTCAGCCCACAAACAGCCTGTGAACCCCCAGGCAGGACAGGGGGCCAGGCCTGAGGCTGCAGGGATGGGGTGGGAAGAGCCAAACAAGGACAAAGTCCCAACAGCCCTGGTGACAACACCACAGGGCAAGGAGGGGATTGAGGCAGGACTTCCTGCTCTGCCCCCTACCCCCACCACCACGCTAGTAAAGAGCAAGACACGCCCACAGCCCTTCCTGAGACCCTGCAGGACCTTGCTCACTTTCCCCTTCGTGGAGGACATCTGCGGGGCTCCTCCCTGCCCGCTGTCAATGCAAAAGAAGCCAAACTCTGTAAAATAATTTTAAAAGGTTTATTCTGAGCCAAATTTGAGGACCATGGCCCAGAGCCACACCCAAGAAGCCTTGAGCAAGTGGGCTTGCTGTGGCTGGTGTGAACTAAAATAAAATTTTAAGGCTCACACTCTCACCAGCTGACTAAATGAACCTCCTCTTGCCAAAGGAATATCCTAAAACTAAATTGCCTGCCAGGAGGAAGGAGGTCAGATATGCCTTATCATGTGCCCCACCCTTCTTAGGGACATCCTTTGTAACCCATTAACAGGCCTAAGGGTATGCAAGACAAACTTGCAGGTCCTTAATTTACACAACAAATCTATGTCTGGGGGCTTATCTCTGATAAACAGTTCCTTATGTTGAAACATTCCAAAAGCCTTTAGACAAAGCTTCATTTCTTTAACCAATTACAAGCCAAAGAATCTTTAAACTCACCTATAACCTGTAAGCCCCCACTTCGAGATGGCCCACCTTTTCTGGCCAAACCAATGTATGCCTCCCGCATATTGATTTATGACTTTACCTGTCTCCCTGAAACATATAAAACCAAACTGTAACCCAGCCACAGCAAGTCCACTTGCTCAAGGCTTCTTGGGAGTGGCTCTGGGTCATGGTCCTCAAATTTGGCTCAGAATAAATCTCTTTAAAATTATTTTACAGAGTTTGGCTGTTTTTCCATTGACACTGGGTTACGGTTTGGTCTTATACATTTCAGGGAGACAGGAATTACAGGTAAAGTCATAAATCAATACAGGGAAGGTATACACTGGTTTGGCCCGAAAAGGTGGGACTTCTCAAAGGTGGGGTGGCTCACAGGTAATAGGTGGGTTTAAAGACTCTGACTTGGCCGGGTGCAGTGGCTCACGCCTGTAATCCTAGCACTCTGGGAGGCCGAGGCGGGTGGATTGCTCGAGGTCAGGAGTTCAAAACTGGCCTGTGCAAGAGCGAGACCCCATCTCTACTATAATTGGAAAGAAGTTAATTGGCCAACTAACATATATAGAAAAAAAATTAGCTGGGCATGGTGGCGCATACCTGTAGTCCTAGCTACTTGAGAGGCTGAGGCAGAAGGATGGCTTGAGCCCAGGAGTTTGAGGTTGTTGTGAGCTAGGCTGACACCATGGCACTCTAGCCTGGGCAACAAAATGAGACTGTCTCAAAAAAAAAAAAGACTCTGACTTGTAATTGGTTAAAGAAATGAAGCTTGGTCTAAAGGCTTGGAATGTTTTAGGTGCAGATAAAGAAGTCTGTTAATCAGAGACAAGCTGCAGGGCCATGTATTTGTTGTGTAAATTGAGGATCTGCAGGTTTTTCCTGTTATATAGCCTTAGGCCCATTAATGAGTTACTAGGCTATCTACCAGAAGAGAGGGGGACACATGCCGGACCTCCCTTCTCATGGCCACAACTCAGTTGTAGGGTATCTCCTTGGCTGAGAGGAGGTCCATTCAGTCAGTTGGTGGGCAAGGGGTGGGGGAAGCCTTAAGATTTTATTTTAGTGCACACCACCCAGCTACATTTGGCTAGCCCCTTTCCCCCCTTGTCTTTCCTGCCACTCCCTCTATAGTGCCCCTGGCGCCTGGCCCCCAGGCCCACTGGACTGGACCATTCCTGTGCTTCACTCCACTTACTCCCTTCCCCGGACTGGCCCCTCATGGTCCCCATTGTGGCCAGTGTCATGGGCCTCTTAGCCCCGACCTGGATGGGGCCATCCCTGGACAGCTCCACATGCCTCGCCCCAGGGCATGCAAGGCTTGTGCAGGGTGAACAGAGCAGCAGCTGGGGACAGACATTCCTTCTGTCCATCTGCTGCAGGGAGAGTGAAGTTGGGCACATGAGGGCTGTCCAGAATCCTGCAAAGGCAGGAAGAGTTGAGATCTGAGATAGAGGCGGCTTTGGAGAGCCCCTCCACAAGACCACTTTTCCAGGGAGTATGGTGAGTAACACGCCCCAGCCTACTAATTCCTTTGCCAGTGAAAGAACTGCAACCTTGATCTTCCCGCTCCCCCCCCCTTGTTGCCCCCCAGCCAAGCGATTTTCTAAACCAAGGCATGCTTGCTGGTAAACAGGTAAGTCAGGGACCAATGGCTCAAGGACTCTCTAACCCACAGGAGTCAGTAAAGGTTCACCCATCACGGAGGAAGCTGTTTGGAGCACTGGCTGGCCACCTACAATTCAGAAGGTCACCAGGTAGGCGAACCCTTTAAGGGCATTAGTAGCATCAGGTAAAATGGAAACAAAAACTCTAGAGATAAGAAAGGTAAAAATTAAATCTATACATTCAATTTTCCCTTTTCGGGTTAAAAATCCCAAACAGCTCAATTTTTAAAATTTAATTCTCTGTAGGTTCGCTCTATTTTTATTATGTTCCAAAATGATGGGACATCGGAATGTGTAAGTATATGTAGCTTGACTCATAACAGTCAAAGAAATATCAAAAACGTTAACAAAACTATTTTAGTCTCAGCAATGACAACAACAAAAAGGCTTCTACCTTCCTTTCAATCCTACCAACCTCTCTTCCCAGCCCCACCCATCCTGGGCCAAAATTCTGCAAAAAAGAGATTTTTCATGCATTATCATCTGCTTCTGAAAGCCCAGTATTGGGACAATGTATTGGACTTGGTTCAAATCTTAGCCCTATCACTGTGTCACTGGTGTTTTTCAACCTCCGAGCCTCAGTTTCATCATGTTAAGAAGGGGAGTAACAGTTTCTGTTATTTTTATCAGACCCCAAACACCCCTCTTTTTACCTTTCCCTCCTCAAAGTCTGCTCAAGCCCAGCTTAACCACCCCAGCCCACACTACAGTGTCAATGACTTAATATTTGTATTTGCATTTTAAGAAGTACCCAGTGGAACAGTCCTTATAACTGAGCTGTGTCACTCCTGGTGCAATGAGATACAGCTCAGTTAGTGGGGGTGGCATGGAGGGGGTCTCAATTCCATCTAGGTAGCTGCCTAGACCTTTATCCCAAAGCTGGCTTTGCCTTTAATATTGACACAGAAGCTGGCTTGACAAGTTGGTTTTACAAATTCAGTTAAATAATATGAAATCCCAGCAGGCCTTGGCATTGAGCCTGTGGAGACCCTCACAACAAACGCCTTCACTTCCTTTTTCTTTTCAGGTCCCCACACACATGGTTAACACTAAATGAGGACTTCCTGTGTGGGCAGCAACCACCAAAAATTTGCAGAGCCACATAACTTCTCTTTTGGGTGGACTTGTGAACAGCCTAAAATTTTCCATGGCCAAATAAAAAGTGATGAAATAAAATTTGGCCTAATCTAGGATCTTAAGTGTAAAGTTTTCCAGCAGTGAAAGAAACAGAGAGTGGGGCCAAACAACATGGCTTTATTGAGCGCTCCCGGGTAAGGTTTGCGGGCCCCAAGAGAGAGGGGCCCCAATAAGTCATGTCTGTTTGGAGGGGGTGCGAGCCTTTATAGTGTTTGGGGTGTGCTAGGGACTTTTGGCAGAAGAGCTCAGGTGACCTTTGGTGGTCATTGAGAAATAGGAGGGGCTGGCGGTATTTGCGGAATCCAGGAGCCAAAGCTTTCTTATCCAGGTGGACATCTGGGTATGGTTCTCAGCGGGGCCTGGCAGTTTGTCCTTGGCGGGTCTGGTCTCGTGAGCCTTTTCTTTTTGATCTAGGGAGGGGAGGGGGCCTGCCACCAGCCTTACACCAAGGACTAAAAAAATAAGTATTCAAACTGAAATGAACCTAATTTCATTTTGTCTCTTTTATTTACAAGTTTTACTTAAATATCTCTAATGGTTAGAAAATCAGTGTCAAATATGAGCATTGGTATACAGCTTAAAACACAAATGTCAGTAATTATTAAAGAACATGGTTAATTATTACAAGTAAATGCTTGGTAACAAATATTTTCCAGGAGGCAAGTTAAAGCGTTAGGTGCCTGAGGAGTAAGGGACAGAGCCTCAGTTAGCTCGGATGGTTCTAGGGCAGTCCAAACATGCTTTCCACGAGGTGATGCATTGTTACACGCCATGCCACCATCCTTTATCCCCAGCTCCAAGGCTACACCAGGGCTTTTTCTGCCGCAGGAAAGAGTCACATTTCAGAAACAAAGGAACCACTTTCAGATTAAAGTTGGACGGCTCAGTTTCAGGATATTCTACTGTAACCTGGGAAGTTAAAGCTTCCCAAAAAGCTGTCAAATGAAGACAGGTCACTAGGGGCTGATGGACAAGAGTCAAGCGAGACTCATTCTGGACAGTTTTTGTTGTTATATGTAATTATGCTCTTCTGTAATTAGCTCACGTTCAAGCTGTTTATATTTCACCTATGTTTAAAAGGTGCCAAAAAAATAAAATAAAAAAGATGCCAACTCGATTGTATCTAAACTAAACTTTACCCAGTGTGCTAAATACTAGATACTTTTTAGGCCAAATCTACTTCTGGGAAAAATATATTTATATATTAACATACCATAAACTTTACATTTTCATTAAAATAAATTAGCTTTATTGTTACTAATAACATCTCAGAAAGGTAAATCTAAGTATCCTGATCTATCATATTAATTTGAATTTAGAATACCATCTTATCTATCCATTTTGACCAAGCCCCAGAATCAACAGAGCTGCATTTATATTAAAAAACATGAGATTATGCCAATATTATCAAAGTTCCTTACCTAAAATGATAAATATGCAATTTGAAGCACCAATGCATACTTTCTTCAAAAGTTACATCTAAAATATTAAATGTTCAATCTTACTTTTTAGTTCATTTAAAAAGTTTCAGTCTTAGCTGGGCCTGGTGGCTCACCCTATAATCCTAGCACTCTGAGAGGCCAAGGCAAGAGGATCTCTTGAGGTCAGGAGTTCAAGACCAGCCTGAGCAAGAGTGAGACCCCCGTCTCTATCAAAAAATAGAAGAAAAAAAATTAGCTGGGCAACTAAAAATAGGAAAAAATAGCGAAGCATGGTGGCATGTGCCTGTAGTTCCAGGTACTTGGGAGGCTGAGGCAGGAGGATCACTTGAGCCCAGGAGTTTGATGTTGCTGTGAGCTAGGCTGACACCACAGCACTCTAGTCCAGGCAACACAGTGAGACTGTCTCAAAACAAAAGTTTCAGTCTCAATATTGAAATCTCTGTATAAAATAAATAAATGCTTTGGAAGACCTGACAGGTACTTTTAACCTCCTCTCAAATCCCAGTGTCCTGAAACAGTAGCCCATGTGCTTTAGGAAGGCCAATGACAGCAAAACAGTGGTCAGGGAGACAGATATGCTGGGGTTTAATCAGAAGATCTGGGGTTTCCAGAATGCAGCCTGGGGCATTCATGGAAAGAACTGATGGTTTATGGTGGAAAAAAGGCAGACAATAAATCAGCCTTTCTTCTCTCTCAATATACCAACTAGAAAGCAGGAAAATTTATTAGGCAGAGGAAAAACATACGCTTGGAAACACAGGTGAGAGAAGTCTGCGTTCACTCAGCTGTCTCACAAGTTATTGAATCAGATAAATTTATGACCCATGGCAGGCTCCAAAGTAGGATTCAGACACTTTATATGCTGGTAAAGGCTCCAGAGGTACTTCAGGGTTTAGCTGGCATCAAGAATAAAGGACAAAGAAAATGCCAGATAAGTAGAGTCCTCAGTTATTAATATATCAACAAACATGCTAGCAGGATGGGAGTGATTCACACTTTATTTTAAGGGGGTAAGATGAAAAGAGGAATCAACAAATGTAGTTTTCTGCCTCATGTGGTACAGGAAAATAAAACTATCCCTTTTGTGGGATTATATTTGTTTCCATTTAGGGACACATTTCCTGTTGTTTGACTGCCTTAAGAACTCACGAGAAGAGATTCATCCTCCAAAAGGATCCACATGGTTTAATTTTCAAGTAAATACAAAGATTCTGCAGCCCACAGAAACCATTGAGAGTTACATTTTTATTTTTGCCCTAACTCCTATACTAAATATGGTCTTAATTCCTGAGGAGTAGCAATGGCAATTTAGCCCAGTCTAGGGGCAAGAGTCCCATCTGATAAGTTTCCCTTTTCCCTCTCAGTATAAGATTATGAGAGTCTCTGTGAGTGACTATTCTCCTTAAACCCTTGTGACTGTTCTTAAGCCATTCGTGTTTTCACCTCTCCAGACTGAAACTGAATCTTAAATCCACAAACCAGCAAGTAAGCCAGTCCTGCCTAAACACTTAAACTACCACGTGTGATTGCGTTTTCTCCTTTCCTGCAAACATTTGAAGAGGGAACATTCTTTTAAGATGTTTGGCTGCAGAAACTGGGTGAGGGGTTTAGCATAACAGAGATAGAAGGATTGTGGTAGGTGGAATTAACAAAAGAATGTTTGAGAGGTATCAGCAGAGAGGTTAAATGCTGGGAATAAGCCCCCCGAAACTAAGCCCAGGAGGAAATTTTACTAATACAGGAATGACCAGGAGTTAAGGCTTAGATTAGTTACCTCCTGCAATGGATCAAAGTTTCAGGACTGGGACTCAGTGGAGACCAAAGTGGCACAAGCATTAATAAATTCAGCTAGTCCAGAGGCATAGATCCTTCTTAACTGAAAACCAAAACGAGTCATTCCAAGCATGCTTACAGTAGGCCTGTTTGCAAGTTTAAGGATTCAGTTTTTACGATAAACTAGAAGAGAACTAGAATGTAGTATTACAAAATGTTTTTCCAAGTATAATCACAAAAAGGCTATTGCATAGAAAAGTGTGCTGTAGTATGCTTTGTAAACCAAGGCTTTAGCAATTTAAAGGAAAAACAAAAATTCTCTTCATAGTCTAGAAGTCCATGATTGTGAATTCAGGGAAATTATTATTAAATTTGCAGATTTTTTGCAGCAAGAACTCAGTAGATTCTGAAGTTCTTTATTCTTAGAGTCATGATTAAATTTACCCTTTGAAGGCTCAGGCTGGCATGTTTAACAGTATCTTTGTAAAAGGACTTGGGCTATACAAGCCCAAGCCAACTCCATAGTCTTTATGCTCTGCCCTCTGTATGTGTTAAGAGTTGATCAAAACATACCAGGAGAAAAAAATCATTGCTATTGTCTTTAAACCTAGGCTGTTCCCCAGCCCCTCATGTTAGTTAATTGTTTAGCAAGCTACATCTGCCTGCCCTTTGAACAGAAAGGTTTGGATAGCTAGTTTAAAAGTGAAAATATTTCAGAAGAGCATTTATGTTAACCTTGGCAATAGGATGGATGGGAGACTCTTATCCTCCCTTGTAATATGCATCAATTGATTCTGAGTTAAAATACACCACGGTGACAGTGATATCATCCCTGTACATTCTTGCCAAGTCCTCCGGCAATGTCAGCATCGCTGTCAACCGCTCCGGCTCCATCTCCCCATACTCGTTGCTCCCGATGGCATGTCTGATCAGACGTGTGGCTGCATTTTGGTCAGCTTCGAGGAGCCTGCTGGCTTTCCTCTGCAGCAGCAGGCTCTGCATGAGCCCCAGGTTGGTGGGTCTCTGGGCCAGGTCTGGCTTGTGCCGATCCAGCTCGGCCAGATGCCCCACCACCAGCCTCACCACGTCCTCATTGCTCAGCATGTCCCACAGGCCATCTGAGGCCAGCACAAGGAACTTATCCTTGGGCCTCAGCCTGTGGTACGTGACCTCAGGCTCAGCAGTCAGGTACGGGGGAGTATAGTAGTGTGGGGGTGTGAATTGATAAATGTTGAGGGCCTCAGTATCGAAGCCCCTCTCCAGGACATTGCGCTGCAGCTCTTTACTCCACTTCAGCTGGACATCCCCGAAGGCCCTGCAGGGCATGAGGACACCCAGCAGCCTGTTGTCCATGATGATTGTCCTGTCCTCTGATTCGGGGTGCTCCCTCTTTAGCCGGGAAAGCTCAGCTTCGTTCCAGGCATTGTGATCACGGGTGAGGGGCAGACAAGACCACATGCCATTGTCCTCCTGGACACCAAGGATGGCCCGGCAGTCACCAGCATTTGCCACATGCAAGTGAACTCCGTCAACATGGGCCATACAGGCTGTTGCTCCAGAGAAGGCAACCTGGAGTGACAGGTTTCTTGTCACCTCATCTTCCAGGGGGGCCTGAATTTCCAGCGAGATGTCAGAATCCAGTCTCTGGAAGGAGTACATTAATGCTTCCTCAATGCTTAGTCCCATTTCCATGTGTAGGTCAAGCAGTTCCTGCCAGTAGACACGGAGGTGGTCAAGATGTACTGATGTGACATCCTTGTAAATGCTGTCCCCTGGGTGCTTGAGCCATTGCAGCATGGGCAGCAGGGGCTTCATGCTTTCCATCGCTCCCTCCATCTGCTCTAGAGTCTGGTGAGACATCAGGGACACTGCCACGTAGTAGAAGAGCCTCTCGCTCACTGCTTGCGCACATGCATGACCACCATGTCCATCAAAGATGCCAAACAGCAGTCCGCTGGTCTGTAGGCAGGAGGCTACACCTCGCCGGTCCTCCACTGGGGAATTGGCAGCCAGCTGGTTGCTCTCATACCGCAACACTGAATTTGGGACTCCATTGTCAAGGTCAAGAATCTTGTGTGCTGACTCACCAGCTCGAAGCACTTCATTAACCTGCTCGGGGCTGAGTTGCAACTGGAAATCATCTTCCTCTGTGGATGTGTGTCTGTATGCCTTTTGAAGAGTAAAGCTACCACATGGGGAACTGTTTTTTAGGGTGGGTAGCACCTGAGAAGGGAGCTTCCATTTTGATTTATTCCTATTGGAGACACACCTAGAGTATAAACGTCTGCCCCCTTGAAATGTGGCAACGCTGTTCCTTACAGAATTTAAGATCCAGGAGGCCACAGTACTTGACATTCTGAAACTATAGCAGCAAATGTGTTCCTTCAGGAAAAAAGGGTCTTTTTAAACCTGAAATTAAAGTTTAAGAAAGTTTCAAATTTAACTGCTTAAAAACACTGACTTCTGAAAATCTAATATCCTGAACAAAAATGACTTACGGTAAACTATAAGAGTTGACTAAACTCAAAATACTATGTAAGTCTTCCTACTCCCCACTAACACATAAATACATTCCAGAAAATTTGGAAAACAGAGTTTTATATACTCTCTGCTGCCACAGAGCCACGGTGGGCTTCACTCATTCCTCCCAGCTGACCTAGAGGCTTCTTTTTCCTCTTCTTCCTAAACTCTTTCCTCTTGACTGAGCACAGCTCTTGATAGCTCCCAGGTTCACAATGTCCCCAGCAGACTATGTGTTCATTTAAATAACTGCTTTGGGCAACAGTGTTCCATGCCTGTAATCCCAGCTACTCATGAGGTTGGGGTGGGAGAATCTCTTCAGCCCAGGAGTTTAGATCAGCCTGGGCAACACAGTAAGACCCTGTCTCAAAAAAAAATTTTTTTTTTTGAGACAATAGTCTCACTCTGTTGCCCCAGCTAGAGTGCTGTGGTGTCAACCTAGCTCACAGCAACCTCAAACTCCTGAGCTTAAGTGATCCTCCTGCCTCAGCCTCCTGAGTAGCTGGGACTGCAGGCGTGTACCACAAAGCCTGGCTAATTTTTCTACTTTTAGCAGAGAGGGGATCACACTCCTCTTGCTCAGGTTGGTTTCAAACTCCTGGCCTCAAGTGATCCGAGTGCCAGGATTACAGGCATGAGCCACCGTGCCTGGCCTAATCCTGTCAATCTTGAGCTTAAATCAGTGACAGGTTTTTTTTTTTTTTTTTGAGACAGAGTCTCACTTGTTGCCCAGGCTAGAGTGAGTGCCGTGGCATCAGCCTAGCTCACAGCAACCTCAAACTCCTGAGCTTAAGTGATCCTCCTGCCTCAGCCTCCCCAGTAGCTGGGACTACAGGCATGCGCCACCATGCCCGGCTAATTTTTTCTATATATATTAGTTGGCCAATTAATTTCTTTCTATTTATAGTAGAGACGAGGTCTCGCTCTTGCTCAGGCTGGTTTCGAACTCCTGACCTTGAGCAATCCGCCTGAGTGACAGGTTTTTTAAAAAAATCAATCCTACTTCCTAAATCCTAATCCTACCTCCACCCAACTCCAAGCCTCTCACCTGGTCTCCCCTCCTCCACCTTCAACTTGGTCCTAACCACTCTTTCTCTACAGAGCAGCCAGAACAATGCTTCCAAAACTCAAATTCCTGCTCTAACGTCCTCATTGGCTTCTCACCAACCATTGGGCCATGAACTGACAATGACATTGGCCTGCCACTGACAATTAACACAGCATAGTTGGCAGTTGGTAGGTTGAAAAAGGCAGAGAAACGGGACCCCAAGATAGTCCCTCAGTCTCTTTTGGTCCTAACATTGTGGGGTTCCAGTTACCACCTGCTTCCTTATAAATTATTTTAATAGAACTCCTCTAACTGTGGTAAGTCAAACGGAGCCCTTCACTGGAGGCAGAGAAAAATAGAACAATGACCAGAAAAAGCCCCTTGAATCCCTGAGAATGGTGTCTTCCAGAAGGAAGACACATGGCTTACCTGAGGAGCCTGGCCAGCCTACCTGGACCCAAGGACAGGCCTGCAATAAAACTGTTCCTGTTAGACTCGCCCTGGTATATTTATGCTGCCACTCATCCTTAACTCTTTCCGGATGTTCTAAGTCAAGATTTTCAATCTCAGCCAAGCACCGTGGCTCACGCCTATAAATCCTAGCCCTCTGGGAGGCTGAAAAAGTGGGTGGATCGTTTGCACTCAGAGTTCGAGACCAGCCTGAGTAAGAGTGAGACCCAGTCTCTACAAAACGAAGAAATTAGCTGGACAACTAAAAAAATATATATATATGTATGTAAAAAAAAAAAGCCAGACATGGTGGCACATGCCTGTAGTCTCAGCTACTCTGAGCTCAGGAGTTTGAGGTTGCTGTGAGCTAGGTTGGGGCCACAGCATTCACTCTAGCTGGGGCAACAGAGTGAGACTCTGTCTCAAAAAAAAGAGCATTTTAAAATATTACATTTGATGGATATGTTTCATCATAAACAATCACAATTTACTTAACTATTCTCTAACTGCACTGCCTTAAACAGTAACCTGTTCCCTACTTAGGTTTTATTTTACTTATTTCCCAAACCAGGAATCAGCAGGTCAAAGGGTATAGACTCTGCCAAACTGATTTCCAAAAGCTTCAAATCTGCCTCTACAAGAGTGTGAAAGGAACAAGTTTCCTAGTCCCTCCCTTCACTAACCTCTGGTAGAAATTTTTCTGTGCACCCAAAAAAAGAAAGAAAGAAAGAAAATAAAACCAGCTCCATTATAATTAGCTTTTCTCAGGTGACCCGGGGGGAAAAGGAGCGTTTCCCACGCGCTTTCGGATTTCGTTTACGAATCCTGCCATCCCCCAAGTTTGTCTGCTGGGGTCGGTCTGGAGAGCTCCCAGCACTGAGGATGATCCCCTCACCCGCAACCCCGCCAGCCCACCCCGCTGAACTTGGGTTCGGTCAGGGAGCGCCGAGGGCGCCTGACCCTCCGCGCCCTGCAGAGAAGGCAGCCAGGACACAAACAATTTCGCGTCCCTAGAGAAACAAACAGGTCTCAAGTCCAAGTCTCTGACCACAGCCTCAGACACAAGGGTGCGGGCTCCGGAGGCTACCAAGTCCGATCTCCCTCCAACTCCGGCGCGGCCGCGTCCCAGCCGGGCGCTCCCAGGCGACTTGGAGTCTCTGAGCCGCGGCTTCCCAGCGGGTAAAACAGGCGGGATGCGGAGCTCGCAGAGGCACTCGAAGGGCCGGAGCAGCTAGCGCGGGGGTCCGGGTCCGCTGCCAAGCGTCCTCCGCGAGTCCGCGGACCCCGTGGCGCGTGCGCACGAGTGGGGCGATCGTGGTCTTGGACATCGCACGCTGTCCCTCCGGGCCGCGAGCCCGCCCCCTCACCTCACCTCACCTCACCTCCGCTCCGCTCTCCGCCCCATCACCTGAGCCGGTGCTGCAGGCCGGGGAGGGCCAGGCGCGGGCTAGGGTAGGTCGGGGAGGAAGCGTCTACATTCCCTGCTCGTCCCCTTCCATACCTCCGACCCTCGCTCGCTCCGCCGCCGCCGCCCGGTAGGTCCCGTCAGTCCCGCGCCTGCGCACAGCGCCAGAGCTGCAGGCACCCCGGCCTCACCTCACCCAAGTGGACCCTAGTCAGGACCCTGCTCCAGAAGGAAGCGCCCTCCCGCCAGCTCCGATTGGCTCGAAAGCGGAGGCGGGCCCTTGACGGACAGAGGCACTGTCCAATGGCTGAAGACGGCGAGAGACAGCAGAGAGGTGGGACCCGGAGGGCCCAATGCCGCCCCTTCCCCCCGCCCGGGTTCTGGCGGTATTCGAGCGCGGCGCTACCCGGCCAGGCAGTCACGTGCCAGAGCGCCCTAACTTCCCGGCTGCCACACTCTGCGCGCCCCCGAATCGAGCGGGCTCTCGAGTTCCTTGCCGTTGTTAATAATGCCCTACGGCTTCCTCGCCATTTCAGTGATGACCACTCCAGAAGCCTCTCCTAAGCGCCACACCCTTATGTTCCGCCACCTACCTGCACACCGCCACCCACCTGCACACCGCCACCTACCTGCACACCTCCCCCTGGAGGCCCCACGGGCGCCTCAAGCAACTCACCTTCCTGCAAGGCTACTTTTTCTTTTCTCTCATTACACAGTAATGGCCCCACCATCTGTCCAGAGACCCAAGCCAGACACTGTCATCTAGGCGCTTCCCTCTGCCTCACCCTCCCTCTCTTTTCAGTTACAGTTATCTAATCCTGTCACCTTTTTTTTTTTTTTGAGACAGAGTCTCACTCTGTTACCAGGGCTAGAGTCCCAAGGCGTCAGCCTAGCTCACAGCAACCTCAAACTCCTGGGCTCAAGCAATCCTACTGCCTCAGCCTCCCGAGTAGCTGGGACTACAGGCATGTGCCACCGTGCCCAGCTAATTTTTTCTATATATATGTTAATTGTCCAGGTAATTTCTTTATATTTTTAGTAGAGGCGGGATCTCGCTCTTGCTCAGGCTGGGGACTCCTGAGCTCAAAAGATCCTCCCGCCTCAGCCTCCCAGAGTGCTAGGATTACAGGGGTGAGTGAGCCACTGCGCCTGGCCTAATCCTGTCAATCTTGAGTTTAAGTCAGTGACAGGTTAAAAAAAAAAAAATCAATCCTAGGTGGGCTCGGTGGCTCACGCCTGTAACCCTAGCACTCTGGGAGGCCTGAGGCGTGAGGATCCTTTGAGTTTAGGAATTGGAGACCAGCCTGAGCAAGAGCAAGATCCCGTCTCTACTAAAAAAAAAAAAAGTAGAAAGAAATTAGCTGGCCAGGCACGGTGGCTCACGCCTGTAATTCTAGCTCTCTGGGAGGCTGAGACCGGAGGATCACTCAAGGTCAGGAGTTCGAAACCAGCCTGAACAAGAGTGAGACCCCCGTCTCTACTAAAAATAGAAAGAAATTGTATGGACAACTAAAAATATAAAAGATTAGCCGGGCATGGTGGCCCTTGCCTGTAGTCCCAGCTACTCAGGAGGCTGAGGCAGTAGGATCCCTTGAACCTAGGAGTTTGAGGTTGCTGTGAGCTAGGCTGACAGCCATGGCACTCCAGCCCAGGCAATAGAGTAAGACTCTGTTTCAAACAAAACAACAACAACAAAAATCAATCCTACTTCCTAAATGTCTCTCCACCCAACTCCAAGCCTCTCACCTGGTCTCCCCTCCTCCACCTTTGACTGGTCCAAACACTCTTCCACTACAGAGCAGCCAGAACAATGCTTCCAAAACTCAAATTCCTGCTCTAACGTCCTCATTGGCTTCTCACCAACCATTGGGCCATGAACTAACAATGACATTGGCCTGCCACTGACAATTAACACAGCATAGTGGCAGTTGGTAGGTTGAAAAAGGCAGAGAAACGGGACCCCAAGACAGTCCCTCAGTCCCTTTTGGTCCTAACATTGTGGGGTTCCAGTTACCACCTGCTTCCTTATAAATTATTTTAATAGAACTCCTCTAACTGTGGTAAGTCAAAGAGAGCCCTTCACTGGAGGCAGAGAAAAATAGAACAATGACCAGAAAAAGCCACTTGAATCCCTGAGAATGGTGTCTTCCAGAAGGAAGACACATGGCTCACCTGGGGAGCCTGGCCAGCATACCCGGATCCAAAGACAGGCCTGCAATAAAACTGTTCCTGTCACACTTGCCCTGGTATATTTATACTGCCACTCGCCCTTAACCCTTTCTGGATGTTCTAAATCAAGAGTTTCAATCTCGGCCGGGTGTGGTGGCTCACACCTATAATTCTAACACTCTGGGAGGCTGAGGTGGGAGGATTGCTCAAGATCAGGAGTTTGAGACCAGCCTGAGCAAGAGCGAGATCCCGTCTCTACGAAAAAAATAGAAAGAAATTAGCTGGACAACTAAAAATACATGTGGAAAAAATTAGCCAGCATAGTGGCTTGTGCCTGTAGTCCCAGCTACTTGGGAGGCTGAGGCAGGACTGCTTGAGCCCAGGAGTTGGAGGTTGCTGTGAGCTAGGCTAATGCCATGGCACTCTAGCCGGGGCAACAGAGTGAGACTGTCTCAAAAAAAAAAAAAAAGGATTTTCAGTCTCTCTCTTCCTGGACGTTAAGTGGACTGTTTCAGACCCAAACTAAAAATAACTCTAAATGGGTGCAAGACAACTGGGAAGCACACTTTTTTTTTTTGCACAGCGAGTTCATTTGGGGTTACAAAGGTTATCTTTAGGACACAGGCAGCAGTGTTTAATTACTCAATCTGTAGGCTTTTCTGGGTGCCCACAGTGTGTCAGGCACTGGGCTGACTACTGCAGACACACAGATGGCTGCCCCCGCCACTTTCCTGAGAAAAATTACATCACTCCACTAAGTTTGAAACCTCAGAGTTTTTCTAAGCTACCACACACACCCACTTCCAAAGTAAAAATGCACCCCTAAGGATTTTGTATGTGCTGGAACTTTTGTTTAGAGGCTATAACCAGTTTAGTCACTCTACATATGATGGCCAAAGTCCCTCACCTGGTCTCTCAAGGTTTCCTTGTCCCAAAGTTTTACAAGAAAAATAAAAAAGAAGGAAAAGGACTTTTATGTTTCCTTTGAGAAAGGGAACAGACAGCTCAACTGGCATTTTTGGAGAAAATATGTAAAAATATTCAGCCTCATTCAAAACCAGAGAAATGGGAATGAAAATGATGTATTGATTTTTGTCAATCAACCTGACAATTTTTTTTTTTTTTTTTTTGAGACAGAGTCTTACTCTGTTGCCCAGGCTAGAATGCTGTGGCATCAGCTTAGTTCACAGAAACCTCAAACTCCTGGGCTCAAGCGATCCTCCTGCCTCAGCCTCCCGAGTAGCTGGGACTACAGGCATGCACCACCATACCAGGTTAATTTTTTCTACATATATTTTTAGTTATTCAGCTAATTTCTTTCTATTTTTTTAGTAGAGACGGGATCTCGCTCTTGCTCAGGCTGGTCTCAAACTCCTAACCTTGAGCAATCCTCCCACTTCAGCCTCCCAGAGTGCTAGGATTACAGGCGTGGGCCACCACTCCCGGCCAACCTGACAAATATTAAAATATAGGTCACATACCTAATGTTGGTGAGTTGCTATTTCAGCAGGTGGGAGTGTAAATTAAGGCTACCCAATGGGCACACCTTTCATCCACTCATTCAACTTCTCCTTTATCCTAAAAAACAAAGGTGGGCCGGACGTGGTGGCTCATGCCTGTAATCCTAGCATTCTGGGAGGCTGAGGCAGGTGGATTGTTTGAGCTCAGGAGTTCAACACCAGCCTGAGCAAGAGCAAGACCCCCATCTCTACTAAAAATAGAAAGAAATTAGTTGACCAACTAAAAATATATATACAAAAAAATCAGCGGGGCATGGTGGCACATGCCTGTAGTCCCAGCTACTCTGGAGGCCGAGGCAGTAGAATTGTTTGAGCCCAGGAGTTTGAGGTTGCTGTGACCTATGCTGATGCCATGGCACTCTAACCTGGGCAACAGAGTGAGACTGTCTCAAAAAAAAAAAAAAAAAAAAGAGACAAAGGTGAACATTACAAAGTTTCTATAATAAATATACATTACCCATCTGGTATAACTTGTGTAATTTGGAGGGGGGAAAAGGAAAGTTAGTTTAAAAGCAGTCAGATGGGCCAGGCGAGGTGGCTCACGCCTGTAATCCTAGCTCTCTGTGAGGCCGAGGCGGGTGGATCCTTTGAGCTCAGGAGTTCGAAACCAACCTGAGCAAGAGCGAGACCACATCTCTACTATAAATAGAAAGAAATTAATTGGCCAACTAATATGTATATAGAATGGTGGAGCATGCCTGTAGTCCCAGCTACTCGGGAGGCTGAGGCAGAAGGATCGCTTGAGCCCAGGAGTTTGAGGTTGCTGTGAGCCAGGCTGATGCCACAGTACTTGCTCTAGCCTGGGCAACAAAGTGAGACTGTCTCACAAAAAAAAAAAAAAAAAAAAAAAAAGCAGTCAGATGACTGACTGGGGTAGGGTTCTCTTGGATGATTATACAGCAAAGTCTCCTGATTTCTTAGGTATACAGACAAGACTTTCTTTTTATTAATGGAATGTTAGGAAAGCTGAATTTGAAGATGATCTTGTGTCAAGAGGACCTGAGGACCTGAGATGGTGGCAGCCAGTTTCAGTCTATGAAAACTGTAACCTGTATCAGGGAGCATGTGTAAAAATCTCAAGGGGTCTTTGTTCTTTGCCAATAAGCAGAAGAGCTTGCCCCTGCAGCAGTTCTGTGCCATTGTCACTCCCCAGCAGAGCCTTCTTGCTGGGGTGAGTACATCTGTGCCCTGAGACAATTGTCCCAGAGACCTGTGCCATCCCAAATCAAGTGATTGAACTTCACCACATTTTAGCCAACCAGACTTTTCCTGGCACTGTCCACTCCAGACTGACCACACACCTGGGCACACACCCCTCCCACCCCGACAGGGCCCTCTTTCTTGCAGAGGGAATGGCAATTAATCCCTGTAGAGCAGCAGCCTCAGGGACCATTTAGCAAGTCTGGAGGCTGTGCTAGTGACAAAGGCTTGGGAATTTTTGAAAAATACAAATCCTTTTCCAGCCCTATTCTCAAATTTGCCCTGAAGCAACAGCGCTAACAGACTTACCAGTTTGTCAGGAGGCCTCAAAATTGCTGTGTTAAGCTTCTAGAGCTAGAGCTAGAGCTGAAGCTTGCTCTGGGAGTCCCAAGCCTGAGGCCCAGTTCTGCCACCTACTTGCTGTGTGACCCGGGGCCACTCACTTCCTCCCTGAGCCTCCGTAGAACTACTTGGAAGGGCAGTCGTGTTTGCCTTGTGGTTGTCCTTTGCACTCCCATTTGCAAATGACTCGTATCCTTCCGTGAAAGTAGGTTTGGAGAGCAGTAGAAGAGCCCAAGGAGCCTGGCGTGGGGAAGAGGAAGTTGGAGGAGAAGCCTCCCGCGCTCGCGGCCGCGGCTGCGCGCGAGGCTGCCGGCAGGGGGCGCTGCCCGGCGAGCTCGCGCCCCGCAGGCGCCTGCCGGGGAGACCGCGGTGACTGGGCGGGCAGCAAGCAGCGGCCTTGGAGCGGCAGCCTGTGAACCCAGTGAAACGGTAGCTCTCCAGGAAACCGCGAGTGCCCAGCACCCCTCCCCGCCGCTCTCAGGGAAGCGCGGGCCGGAGCGAGCCGGTGAGGCGCCGTGGGCTACGCGCAGGGAAGGGACGGAGGGTGTCAGCGCCGGGGTGCCCGGGGCCGCAGTGACCCCACCTGGGCCTGAGGAGAGACCCCCTGTTAGGGAACAGGACACCGAGCTTGGGGTTAAAATTGGGTAAGGCAGGCTTTGAGGTGAGATCCGGAGGAAGTTAGGGAGTCAGCCTTGGCTCTATCTGGGAGAAAACATTCCATGGAGAGAAAGCAGCGTGGGCAAAGGTCCTAGCCTTGTGGGCCAAAGGAAGGGCTTGGATTCTACAGCCAGGGCCACCTGCCTGCCCCATCTCCAATCCTTGGGCCAGGGCTGGAAAGGACATGAGAGGGCATCTCACCATGCTTTCCTAAAGTGTGCTCTGTGGACCACGGCCCCATAAAACGAGAAAAGGGGCCAGAGCCCCCTACCCAGCCTTGGAAGAGGCTCACAATGCACAATGGCTTGGCCAAGGCTCTGAAAAATCCAGCAGTAAAAGGAATCCATCTAACTTTATTGCAGCACTTCCAAATGTTTCACCACCAACCTCCATCCTCTTAGCTGTAAAAGCTAGTCACATCTGGCGGAACCCGTGGACTTTGTGAGACACCCATCTATCCATTCTTTGTATTTTTCCTCTAGGAAAAAACGAAAAGATGTCCATTCTTTAAAACATTAATATAAAATCAAGTCCAGAGACCTGAACTGACTTGTTGAGGTTCCCCAGGCTTTAAGCTGGTGGCTGAGATGGACCTGGGCCCTCTTCTCTGACCTCCAGCCAAGCTGCTGTCCTGGAAGGTTCCTGAATTCAGTCATGTGAGGGGCCAGTCTGGGCATCTCTGAGGCCAGAGGGCGAGCTCCAGGGGAGATACCCTCTCCCCATGCTGTGTTTTTGTTCAGTTATCTTTAGGTAAAGACTATAATTTAGACATACCCGTACATTGCCTTCATTCCATGGGTGCTAACAATGTATGGGTGTTGTCTGAGCCTGGTCCCCTCCCCCGCCAAGGGAAATGCAGGGCTAGTGTGTTTCAAACACACTCATGGGAAGTCAAACATTCTTTAGTCAGCCAGTAGCAACAGTCAAACCCTACGAACCTCCCCCAGAACAACCCACTTCTCTGGAGAAGGCTGAGGATCCAAACTGGGTATTTTTTCCTCCCTGCTGAGGACCAAGGGGTCACGTCGATCTTGAGGCTCATGTGCAAAGTGCAAAGCTCCTCACCATTTTTTACACCTGCTTTCCCAAGAAACAAGAGCCTCCTCTGGCACAGGGTACCCCATGTGATGTGGTTGTTTACGAGGCCAGGTCTTGGGTCAGGCAGACACAAGAACCCTAGCACTGCCATTGACTGAATGTGCCATTGACTTGTGCAAGGGACCCCAACCGAATTTAGTGCCTCCATTTCTCCATCTGGTGAGTGGGGGCAACCATTCCCACGTATGCTGAGCCGGGGGGTGGGGGACAGACCCTGCCCCAGCTGTGTGGTGACTGCGGGGGGAGGTATGGGATGTGGGAGGGGTGTGGGAGCAGAGCTGTCCTCCTTTCCCTTGCTCCAGAGCTATTTCTGTCTGAAGAACTAGGACCTGTCACTGTAATCAGGGCACCCTCATGCCCCAGCTGTGCTGGAGACTGGGTCAAATTGAATTCCGCTTTTATCTCAGGCTAACCTTCAGTTGCATGTGACTGCCCCCAGGCCTTTGCCCCTGCTGTCCCCCTGCCTGGAATGCACTCCTCTATCCTCCATACCTTTGGGGAACAGTGGGGCCCCTGCCTCAGCCCTCCATGCATGTCCTCTCCTTGGTAGTCCATTGGTACTCAGCGGCACTGGCCAGCTGCCTGTTCTGCCCAGTCCTGGAGCCCCTGGCCAGCAGAGGAAGCAAGAGCTTGGGGCACTGGTGAAGCAGGAGCACAAATAACAGCAAAAATATTTAAAATAGGCCAGGTGGGGTAGCTCATGCCTGTGATCCTAACACTCTGGGAGGCCAAGGTGGGAGGATTGCCTGAGCTCAGGAGTTTGAGACCAGCCTGAGCAAGAGTGAGACGCTGTCTCTACTAAAAATAGAAAAATTAGCTGGGTGTGGTGGTGTTCACCTGTTGTCCCACCTACTCGGGAGGCTCTAGCAGGAGGATTGCTTGAGCCCAGGAGTTTGAGGTTGCTGTGAGCTATGATCATGCCACTGCACTCTAGCTCGGGCGACAGAGTGAGACCCTGTCTCATAAAACAAATTTGAAATAGTTAACAAGTAGTAACTTGTGCAAGGGTCTTTCCCAGCATAGACCGGCTCAGGCCCCTCCTGATGGATTACTGCCTAGGTTGGGCTACGGGCCAAGCTGCAGATTTACACTTGACCACCAGGGGGCGGAAACGGACTGCAGGAAGCTCCCCAGCGGAGTCTCTAGCACATGGAGGGAGGGAGGGACGGAGACTGTATGCGTGCCTGTGGGGTGGGGGCGTCCCCGCTGTTGGTGGGGCCCCAACCTGCCCCTCCACAGCCTGTCTTGTCACCAGGAACTGACACTGCCTTGGCACGATGTGGCAAGTGATGGGGAGGCCAGTTAACTTCTTGTTAGGGGTCTAGAGCATGGCCCAGGTTCAGACTGGGCTCTGAGGTAGACTGATCTTGGACCCAGCAACTCCTGGCTGTGTGACCCAGAGCAAATGTCCTAACCAGTCTGGTCCTCGATATCTCACCTGCGAAATGGGAATAAGAATTATATCCATATAAAAGGTTTTAGGTCTGATTAAATGAGATCCCCTGCAGGATGCACTGGGCTTTGGGCAGCAAGGTTCACATAGGGTCTTTCTACCCTCTGCCCCCAGAGACCAGCCTGTTCCCCCAGAAGCTGGCTATGGGGGAGGCCCCAGCTCAGAGTCCCCCATCAATGTTCCCAGCTGGGCTTCTACCTCCTTTAGGCCATACCCAATCTCTACCCTGATGCCCTCCTTGGGTGCTCCTCCCCTTGTCGTGGCCTCCCCTCTCATTCCCTAGAGTTGTCGTACCATCCTGGAGAGCATTTGAGGATTCTGGGAGGAATTGTCACGTGGATGGGGACACCCCCTAGCATTTGGGGTGGTCAGGGGTGCTAGGAGTCCTCCAGTGCAGTTTCCCACAACAAAGGATTGTTTGAGTCCTGCTCAACCTTTGAATGTCACACCTGGATGTGAACAATCTGTTTATCATCATTTGAATCGACAACCTTGCTTCATTTTATCTGGAAACACAAAGTAATTTTTGCACAGTTTTAGTATATAGCAAATTCTCCAAGAACACAATTGTCATGTACAATGAGGGAAGATGGTATTTTGAGTTGTTTGTAATTTTACCAGGAGTCTTTATCATCTAGGAAAATCACACCATGACAGCAAGGATAGTCACTTTTCTCTGCCTGGGATGGGTATGTAGCTGCCATGTTATGGAGCTACAAAATATGGGAACAAACATCAGAGGCCTCACCACATCTTTAGTGTTGTTGTGCCCCACCATTTACGTACTGACATGCATATTATTTTTATTAAAATCACAGCATTTGCATATGTAAATTCAATTTTAATTATGTATATATGAATACATATATTTTATTATATGTTATAAATTTCTGTCCTTCAATGCTGTATATTACAACCAAGTCAGCAAATTGATTTTTTGAAATTGTGTGCAGAGATAAGTTAGATTTTCTTTCCATTTCATTTCAGGCTTATAATGGGAGGCATTACATTTATCAATATAAAAAATAGACTCTGAGAATCTCACAAACATAAGCAAAAAAAATCCAGAAACTTGGGAGGTTTCTGAAATGAATGATTTCATGCACTGGAAGTTCAAAGCCAGGCCAATGTAATTTATGCTGTTAGAAGCCGAGATGGTGGTTACTTTGAGCAGGTAGCAATTTGGTGGGGACGTGGGAGGTTTGGGGTGCAGGGCATGCACTTTTGTTGATCTGGGTGCTCGTTACACAGGTGTGTTCAGGTTGTGAAAATTCATCAAGAACATGTACTTTTCTGTATATATATTATGCTTCAATTAAAATCAAAGCTAGCATCACCAGTAAAGGGACAGATCAACATCAGGTATCTATTGATATGACCCACTGAAAACAACATGGGATCTTTTTTATATATATTCCTAAGAAAAGTACATCATCTGAATCTTTTCATGTGAAAACACCAAACAGCCCCAATTTGAGAGACATCCTACTACCTAACTAACCAGTAACTCTTCAACCATATCAGTGTCCTGAAACAAAAGGAGATTGGTGAACTGTCCCACATAAACAGAGATAAAGTGACTTGACAGCTAAATGCAATGCATGGCCTGGGATGTAGTTGTTGTTGTTACAAAAGCCATTGTTAGGACAATTGGCAAAATCTGACCAAGGTTTAAAGCAAGGTTAATTTCCTGATTTTGATTCTTGCATTGTGGTTAAATAAGGGAATGTCCTTGTTTTTAAGAAAAAGCATTGAAGTATCTAGGGATAAAAGGGCATCATGTTTGCAACATATTCTCAAACAGTTCAAAAACATTGATATAGGCATAGACATATAGATATGAAGAGAGAAAAGAGAAGGATTAAGCAAATGCGATAAAATGAGGAGTCTGGGTGACCAGTCTATGGGGATTCATATATTATTTTTTCAACTTTTCTGTAAGTTTGAAATAAAAATTTAAAATAAAAAGTTAAAAGAAAAAAAAATTTTTTTGAGACAGCGTCTCACTCTGTCACCCAGGGCTCCTTGGGCTCAAGCAATCCTCCTTCTGCCTCAGTCTCCCGTGTAACTAGAACTACAGATGTGGGACACCACACCTGACTAATTTTTCTATTTTTGTTTTTTGTAGAGATGAGGTCTCACTGTGTTGCCCAGCCTAGTCTTGAACACCTGCCTTCGAGTAGTCGTCCCGCCTCGGCCTCCCAAACTGGTAGGATTATGGGCGTGAGCCACTTTATCCAGCCAAAAAACATTTTTTCTGCATTGGCTATTCATTTCTCAGTGTAAATAGCTGCAAGCCCAGTTTCCAGTGCGAAAAGGGGCAGAACAGGAAGGAAGCAAAGCCTGAAGTTTGCGGCCATGGCAGGATTTTTCTTTTCTCCTTTCCCTAGGAACCCACTAGTTTAGTTTTGCTCACCTGCATGTCTCCACACTCCTATAGCATGACCTCTGACCTCAGGGGGTGCCAGGCCCTAGGCAGGTGCCCCAAAGACTGTAAAGCTGGATACTGATGCCCTGATCCAAACCCCCAGGAGTTGCAGGAGCTGCCGCTGGCGCCAGCTAAAGCAGCCAGGTTGGCGCTGAGCTCTCCACCCCCAGCCCAGGGTCAAAGGGTGCATGCGAGCAGTTCCACACCCAGTAGACCAGAGCTGCACAGGGGTGAAGGGTTCCCCTCCAGGTCCTTTCCACTGCCCCCAGAACCACAGGCTTCTGGATTTAGTGCTGGGGCCAGACCTTCAAGGGCTTGGCTGCCCCCAAAATATCTTTCAGCTCACCTGTGCCTGCCTGGAATTATACCATTAGAGCCCTGCCCTCCAGGAGAGAAATCATTTTCAAGCATCAACTTCTCTCAAAGTATAGACCTCGTTGTCATATGGGTCATGGTTCATGGACTCGGCTATGTGAAAAACATAGACTGTCTTTATTTTCCGTAAATCAATTAAATCGAGTGCTGGGCCCCCATTAGGTTGGGCTTCTGGGAAATTCAGTCCATGAATTCTCCTGTCACATTGATGGGCAAAGGCCTGGGGGCTTGGGCGGCTCTTCCAGTTATCGGCCCCTGCTGGTTTTGGCCCAGTGCCACATCCCCTTCCAGTTTAGGGGACATGTAGGGGTGACCACCCAGAGCCTGAGATGCAGAGCTGTTTGCCCCCTAGCTTGGCCATGCATGTGGCTCTGCCTCTAGGAAATCTGCGAGGCCTTTCAGGCCTCCCACTGACACATTTGACAAATGGGGAAACTGAGGCCTAGAAAAGAGGTCACACAGCAGACTGAAAAGGAGGCGACAAAATCCTTCCCCCACGAGGTGTAACTGACTGTGTGCCCCTCCCAGAGGCACCTGCATTCATCAGAGGAGCATGTGCTACCTGTGAGCAATGAAGCTCCAATGGTAGGATTTTAGGCACTGTGACAGGCTAGCGGAAGTTATTTAGGGCAAGGGTCTTGCTGATATACAAGCCTCTCCAGATAGAGTGAAGAGCACTGGACGAGGAGTCATAAATCCTAGCTCTCAGCCAGCTCACCGCAGGAGCCTGTGTCCCCTCTTTGGGCCTCAGCTGTTCCACCTGTATAGTAAGGTCAGTGCAGATGTCCTGGGATTCCCTGGGTGGCTTGTTGATCCCTGATTTGGCTTCCTTGGCTGAAGAAGTTGTACCCTCCCAAACCCTACTCCTGAACACTCAGGATCGGCAGTAGGAAGGTCCCGCTGCCCAGTTCCCTGGGGGGCCCTCTGGCGACTCCTGTGCCGAGACACCCATGGTCAGAGCAGGAACTGAGAGAGGAGGAGGAGAAAGAGCCTTGAGTTCTTCTTCCTGAACACCGAAGGGACCTCTGGGAGCCCAGATGACCCTGGGGCCCACGTGCCCCCAGGCCTTTCCTGCAATGCTGGTCCCAAGCGGGCAGCTCACATTCTCCTGTCACATTGACCGGCAAGGAAAGGCCTGGGGGGTTGGGTGGCTCTTCCAGTTATCGGCCCCTGTTGGGAATAAAGGAGCCACCTGCTCACCCTGTCATGTCCCTGAAGACAAAAACACTTGGATTGCGGCTGGAGGGATTAAGATGGGACTCATAGACTGCCAAACAGAAACTGCCAGGGCCCAGGCCTGAGCCCCCTGTCACAGGGCCAAAGGGGGGCAGCAGGAGGAGCTGATGAAATGCACCTGCCAGAACTCACACTCCACATTAGAAGGTGGATTCGGGCCATGTGGTGATGCCGGTGCTTTCTGAGCCTCAGGAAGAGTCCTCTTCCTCCAGCCCAGGATGCCCTCAGCCCCTGCGTTAGATCTCCAGTGGCCCTCGTGGCCCCTGGAAGTAACGGTAACGCTCTGCTGGTATTTGAAGTCTCCAGCACCTGGGAGCCCCTGTGTCCCCAGCCACACTTCCCCTCTTTGTTGATGCGTGCTAAGCCAGAGCCAGGCCTTTCTCCTCTGTCTGGTGAATGTTCCCTGCAGCTGAGGTTTCAGCCCCTGTCCCGGGATGCCAGCTTCATTGCTCAGGGCCCCTTCTCCAGGAAAGCCTCCCAGACCAATGAGTCCCCTCCATCAAGCCAGACCCTTCTCGGGACACTGCCACCTCCCCTGACTCCCGACACTCTCCTGTGGTCAGTTCCTGGATGAGGGTCTTGGCCTTTGTCCTGGTGGAATAGCAAAGGTCCTGTGGGCGGCCTGGGGCAGGGCCCACCGGGCTGCGGCGCCGTGGGGGTTAGGGAGGCTTCCTGGGGGAGGAAAGCCCTGGCAGAGGGAGCCAAGTTGGCATCAAATGTTCTGAGACTGCTCTTGTGGAGGACAGAGGCTGGGAGCAGACCTGACTCATTCCTGCCACCTCTTTGCCTGGCTGCAGGCCCAGCCAGAGGGCCTTCTCAGACACTTTGCCAGCAGATGGCCCTGCAAAGGGTGACATTCATTTAGGGCTGCACTGTCCCATATGGTAACCATTAGCCACATATGGCTTTTTTTTTTTTACAGATGGGATCTCACAATGTCACCCAGAATGGACTGTAGTGGCTGTTCGCAAGTCATAGTGTACTGCAGCCTCAAACTACTGGCCTCAAGTGATCTTCCTGCCTTGGCCTCCCAAGTAGCTGGGACTACAGGTGCATGCCACCACACCCAGCCCCATGTGGCTTTTGAGCACATGATAACATGGGTAGTTGGCATTGAGATGTACTGTAAGTGTAAAATACACACTGCATTTCAAAGACTATACAAAAAAATGAATGGAAAGTATCTCTTTTTAAAAAATATTGATGATATACTAAAATGGATATATTTTGGATATAATTGGGTTCAATGACATATATTATTAAAAATGATTTGTTTCCTTTTTCCTTTTTGATATAGCTATTAGAAAATTTCAAATTACAGGTGCGGCTCACTTTACGTCATTTCCATTTTACAGGGGAGGAAACAAGCTTCAGAGGGCTTGAGTGACACGTGGTACAAAACCCAAGTATGACCTGGTATGTCTGCCTTAGGGTTTGTGAGCAGGTAAGACTCAAAAAGGGGTACCTTTTCCAGGCTCTGCCTCTGGCTGGGGGACAAATGCCAGAACATTTCATGCTCCAAGAGTCATATCCCCCCTGAATCTTAAGCAGCCAGCAGTACATTCTGCCTTTGAGGGTGGCCTTGGAGTTGGCACCATGACCCATGGACATGAGAGACTCCCAACATGCCCAGGCTGGGCAGACACTGTTGTCTGACCTCCCTCCCCCCTCAGGCCAGCTCCAGCTGCAGCCAAAAGGCCTCTGCCCTCCTCCAGCCCTCTCAGCTTAGACATCAGCTGTGGCCCCCTCCCAGGCATCAGCTCTGTCAGGTTATCTTGCAACCTCCACCTCAGTCCCATCTCCGTCCCTGTCCCCAGCCATTGCTCAGGCTACAGAACACTCTCCTTGCAGATGAGCTCCCTAGTGGGTGGGTGTCCATGGCTGGCCCTTAGGGGACACCCCTAGGCTTCTGCAGCAGCAGCTATAATGGTAACCATGGGGTTGGGAGCAAGCCCTCTGCAGAAGGAGGTCCAGAGGGGCTGGGTAGCTCCAGGGGGACTAGTAGCCAACCCACCTCCTGAGGCCCACCCTACTCTGGGCCCCTGGGCCTGGCTCCTCTAGGAGGTACTTTGGAAGGAAGTCTATGCCCTTGACCGGGGCACAGACCCAGCATGCTGTGGTTGTTCCCTTGGGCCACAGCCCTTCCTGGATCTCTCCAAGGGCCATCCAGAGACACTCTGGGGTCTTGGGAGCACGTAGAGCCCGTCTTGTCATGGGTGTTCCAAATGTGCCCAGCATCACCTCTAGGAGGCGACCTTGCCCTGGATGAGGACTCAAGACTCAGGACCCAGTCCTGGGTCCCTTGAGGCCAAGTTTGCTGGAGGATACAGCTGGCACATCCCATTTGGATGTAATAGGGTCAAATCTTGTGCCATGATTATAATATAAGGAGGCCACTTTCGGCTTTAAAATAGTTTTAAATTTAAAAAATGAATTAAGGGAAAGGACTCAGAGAGTGAGAATTCTTGGCAGCCTCGGGATAATTATTATAAAACCAGCTCCCATTTTCCAAGAGCTCTGCAGTGCCAGGTCTGTGGTGCCACCACCATCTCTGGGAGGGACTGAACAAGGTCCCTGGCATAGCCAGAAGCATCAGGGCTATTATTCCACCTCCAGGTGGCTGCCACTACGTCTGTCCCTCTCTCCTTTGGACTCAGTTGCTCTGATATAGAGCAGGAGAGTTATTGGACAGATCCAGGTTCAAATCCTGCTCTTCCACTTGCCTACTTAACCTCCATAGCCTCATCATCTTCATCTGTGAAATAGGGGTGACGACTATTCTTGGATCATAGGGAGGGGCCGGGCTTCTGCACGTTGCTGGCATTACTTCCCTGCTGCCACAGCACCTGCCTCCAAGCAGAGCAGACACCCTCCCCACTTTTCAACATACTCTGAAATGTGGAGGGAGAAAATGGCCCCTCGATCAGGTCTGGGGTGCCTGCAGGGGTGAAACTGTGTCTGGCCCGGTCCTGCTGTCCCCCTACCCCTGCCCACTCTGGGGACAGGTTTTCCTTGAGCATGGGAGTGGAGGAGGGGTCAACAGAGCAAGTCTCTCCCTTCCCCCACTTCCCTGAGCTCAGAGCTAGAGGTCCAAGGCCCAGAAGTACCCTGTGGCCTAGGGGTGCCCTTCTGTTAGAGCGACCGTGACAGAGGCTGAGGCCAAAGTGAGCAGGGGACACATACCACCAACCCCACCTGGCCCTGTAGCTCGGCCTCCTTCCCAAGGGTGTTGAGACATCTCTGTCCTTTTCTATCCTCTCACAACCATTTGTACATTTGAGGTCCCAGTTTCTCACGTCCCCCCACTCCTCAGTCCCCTCATTGTCTGCTGCCTGCACCTGCCCGTGTCTTACCTTGATCACAGTCTAAACCCAACTGTGAACTTGCCTTTGGGAGCTCCATGGACTTGGGCTGGGACTAGGATGAAGCAAGACAGGTTCTTAGGGTGCAGATTTAAGGAGGCACTTACTCCTGGGCTCATGCATGTGCAGGGACGGGACCTGAGGATTGGCACCTCCTTAAATTTTCTTTCCAGGGTCCCATAAATACTGTGGGTCCAACACATGTCACCTCCTCCCCAGGGTTCCCAGTCCATGTGGAGGCCCCACTCTTTACCCAGGGACATCCCCTGGCCTCCTCTCTCTCTCACAGACAGCCAAATGCTGTCTTTTGGGCTCCACCTCGTAAATCTCTCTCATGCAGCCCTCTCCCCCCCATGTCCCCTCCCTGCTGGACACTGGCCACCACTTTCTGCTGCCACTCCTGCCTACCCATCCATACTCCACAGGGATCTTCTCCATTTGCATGCCTGGCCCCGCCCCTCCTCTACGACAAACCCTTCATGACTCCCCATTAGCCTGGGGAGAGAGTCCCAGACCCTCCGCTAGGGCTCTAGCCCCACTGATCCTTTTGAGCCCCGCAACCTAAACAGGGTCCCCCTCACCTCTGAGCCTGCACACCTGCCCTTCCCTCTGCCTCACACAGGCTGTTTTCCTCTCTCTGCTTTGGAATACTAGCTGGAATTTCATTTTTTCACCAAACGAGATAGGCTACCCCTGTCCTCTGCTCCCATATCCCCTGCCCTGTCCTTTTATAACTCTCACCTGCTCAGTACCCACATTCCTCCCAACATACTATGCTTGACTCAGCACTGTTGCTCCCCAAAGCCTAGAACAGTCCTCCACACAGCACAGACACTCGATCGGTATTTGTTGCATGGATACATGAATTTATTAATTAAACATGGATGGATTGTTATGTAGATGGCTTTGGTGGCTGGGTAGGGACAAGGGGAGATACTACATAAGCTGTAGCCAGGGCCTGCCCGTGGCAGCAGGTGGCTGGAGGGAGAAGGCCATGCCACCTCCAGCAGGCTGGGTGCTGATTTTAATGGCCTGGCAGTGAGGTGTGCGCATGGCAGAGGCCTGCAGAAGAGGTAATGCCGAGAGGGCAGCTCTGCCCACCTCTAATTATTGCTTGAGTCTTTCTGGCAGTGCCAGCTGCCTGCCCCAGGGAGCTCGGTCTCATCCATCACAGTGTGAGCTCAGGGTGGGGCTGCTGCTACTGCCAGTGGGGAAGACAAGAGGAGGTTCCCAGGGGCCTTTGGGTCTTGGAGAGCACAGGCAGCCCCAGGCTTGGACCCTGCTCAGCTCCTGTCCTTCCTGTCCCCTGGGCAGCTGAAGGGTGCCCCAGACTCTAGGGTCCCCTCAGGAAGCCTCCAGGGTAGCCAAGGAGCAGGCTGGCTGAAGAGGGGCCCACAGCACCCCCCCAGGCAGGGAGCCTCAGATGGTTTGGTGTCTGCTGACGTGGAAGCCCTTGGGAAGATGGTGCCCTAGTGACCAGCTGGGCAGGTGGGCAGCTCAGGCCCGGAAGGAGGCCTTGACCACGCGGCCCTTCAGTGGCTGTGGCGGCCGGAAGTTGTTCACCATGTGGATCCTCTCATCATCCTCCGAGGTGATAAGCAGGCTCCGGAACTTCTCCATCTTGAGAAAGCAGAAGGGGTATTCAGGGCAGGATGGGAGTGCCATGGTCCTCTATGCCCCCAGACGCATCATCTGGCATAGCTTACCCCGCCAGCTGTACTCCTTTCTCCTCCTGCCCCTAGGGCTTCTCCCTAATCTCCCCTACTCATTTACCTCTTAGGGACCCCAAACCTTGGTTACTTACTCACTAAGGGCCTCTGAGCCTGGACCCTGCTCCACCCACTTCTAGTTCCAAGCCTACCTAGGTAAGACGTAGCAAAAGTAGCATTCAGATTCCAACAGAGTAGGGGTCGTCCCAAGATCCAGGGATCTCCTCTTCCAGCCTGTGTCTGGGTCCTGATGATTAACAGTCAAGCTAACTCTCAACCAAGAATCTAAAAGTTTATTAGCGGCCAGGTGCGATGGCTCACGCCTGTAATCCTAGCACTCTGGGAGGCCGAGGCAGGCGGATTGCTCGAGGTCAGGAGTTCGAGACCAGCCTGAGCAAGAGCAAGACCCCCGTCTCTACTATAAATAGAAAGAAATTAATTGGCCAACTAATATATACAGAAAAAACTAGCCGGGCATGGTGGCACATGCCTGTAGTCCCAGCTACTTGGGAGGCTGAGGCAGCAGGATTGCTAGAGCCTAGGAGTTTGAGTTTGCTGTGAGCTAGGCTGACGCCACAGTACTCACTCTAGCCTGGGCAACAAAGTGAGACTCTGTCTCAAAATAAATAAATAAATAAATAAATAAAAGTTTATTAGCAAAAGATAGGAGGGAGCCTTGATGGTGGACCACAGGCTGTGGGTTGCTGACTGGGAGAGTCACCCTGCCTGGGGTGGGCCCTGAGTGCCACACGCCTCCATGCAGTGCTCTGGGAGGACTCACCTGCCTCTCAGAGACGCGGATGGGCTCCCGGAGCACGATCCAGGTGACACTCTCACTGAGGGGGGGAGTCGTCAGGGAGCCCGGGTAGGTCCAGTAGTGCCGGCTGGCAGGCAGGAGGCACTTGGGGTTGAAGCAGCTGAACTGGGCCTTGGTGCCCTGGAGCAGGGTAGTGGAGCCCAGGAATCAGCATCCCTCCCACCCGGACCAGACCTGCAGCTTCCCCAACCATTTCTATCTGCAGGATTTAGGTTTCTCCGTGGTCCATTGATGCAAATCGTGGGCAAATGTC